TAATGATGAGTAGATAAATAATATAAAATAGATATTTGATAATCTATTCTAAGAAGTTCAAGAAGAACATTTAATAATACTCATGTTTGATAAAAGTATGTTTTACATTCATTTATAAGGCTGCTTATTATATTCAATTCAAAAATATGAAGAAGCATTTCAAGTTTATAACACCTTATTAAAATTAACATAAAAAAAATATTTTATAACAAAAAATATTTAAGATTTTAGCCAGGGAATTATATTAAAATCTACTAATACTAAATGGAAGCTAGAGTGTTTATTTGGAAGAAATCTATATATAATTAAAGAATATAAAAAGAGTCTTGATTTCTTCAAGAAATTAAGTGATAACAATAAGGATTAATAAATTCTAAAAGAAAGTTATATATATATCAGTCTTAACTTAATCTAAATGAATAAATACGAAGAAGCTTTAAATTATCTTAGTATTTATAATTAAATAGACCCAATGAATTTAATCATAAATTTTTTTCAAGGTAACCTTATAATTTAACTGTTTAGGATTTGCTTTAGAAAGATTTGGGAAGTTAGAGCTTGCTCTGGAAAAATATAAATTAATTTCTTAAAAAACAAATGATTCCTTTTATAATCTACTCTATGGTAATTATGTTGAAAATATATAGGAAAAATATTACTTAATTGCAATAAGTTTAAATAAGCTAATGAACTATTTGAGAAAATCCTATAGCATAGGAATTTTACTGAGATTATCTAAATTTACAAATGTATAAATTTACATTAATAAAGGTTTGATTTTATTGAATGAAAGTTAAATGGAATTAGCTCTGAAATAATCAGAAATGTTGATTGATACTAATAAAAATAGTGTTTATGGATATCTATTGAAAGGTAATTAATAAATTTATTTTAATAATAATAGGTATCATTTTACAAATGTAAGATAAAACATAAGAAGTTAATATCATAAGCGATTAGATAGATTAATATTTCCCTAATAACAGTTGGAATTATTTTTTTTAAAGTTATAGTTCTTATTTTTATAATAGGTTATATTTTAACTTTAGACAATAAATTTGAACAAGCATAGATATATTTAGATAATATATAGGGTGTGAACCATGATCTTCTATTTTTAAAAGCTTTATTCTTACTTAGGCTTAATAAAATACAAGACGCTTTTGATATTATTTAGTAATTGAATAAGGAAGATTATTATTGTGCTGTCTTAAAAGAGGCATTCTTTATTATAAAAGAGAATGATTAAACAAACATTGGGATTTAGTAATTTAAAAGATTATTTGAAATTAACCCAAAGGATTATTTGGCTATGCATTATTAAGGTTATTTTTTAACTTTAATTTAGGATTCTGTTTTTATATTGAATTAAAATATGATTAAGCAATTTAATGTTTTAATGAAGCCATAAAGATAAATTCAAAGCTATTTGAATCATATTTTTTGAAAGGTAGAATATGAAGATTATAAAAAGGTGAATCCTTATTTAAAAAGTTATAGTTTTAAGATGCATTGGATTGTTACATAAATGCAAGTAAGTGTGAAGAATTTGATAATGAAAAAGTAAATTTTCATAAAGGAAATATATATTTATTTTTACTAAAATTTGATAAAGCGATAATAGCCTATGAAGATGCTAAGTCAATAGATTTAGCATCGATTATGAAGGCTATAATAGATTGGTATAAAAAAAAGAATTAAGAAGCATTAGTTGAGGCTGAAAAAAAAAAGGATAAATATAAGGAACTCTTTTTTATGCTAGGTAAATGATTTAGATAAAATTTTAGGTAGACTTTATAATGAATTCAATAATAAATAATTTACTTAATATCATATAGAACAATTTAAGAAAATAAATGAGGAAGGCATTAACAATTTTCATAAGGGAAATTACTAAAATGGTAAAGTTTTTATTAAATATATGGAAAGGAATTTTAAAAGTTTTGAATAATTACCTGATAGTATTATCTTTAATCATATGATATTTAATAGGAGAATATGAAATATTGAAATATGCTGCATGGTTTTTAGATTTACATACAAAAGAGATTAATTTATATAAAGTATAATGGAAATTTCCAAAATTCTTTTATTAATCAATAAAAATTATATAAAATAAGATTATTAATGAAGAATAATTAAAATACATTGGCAAATATCCAGTAATTTGATAATTTTTATAAATAAATAATTAATAAATAAATATCTGTTTTTTGAAAAAAAAATATAATCATTTTTATCTACTTAAAATAGATGGTTTTATGTCTCTATTGTAAACTTACTACTTTTAAATTTATTTATCTTCTACACTTTATTAGGAATCGAGATTTTGTTTTTCAATTGTTGGATTTAAAAATTATTTTGATTTAAGATTAATTGAATGTCCAATATAATCAGTATACATAGTTTAAATCACATCTCCAAAGAATGGATGTTAAAGAGCTTAATATGCTGTAATTCTTTCTTCAGGATCTTTTGCTAACATTGCTTTTAATAGTGACTAATTATTAAAGGTAATCATTTTTACAATGCAATTTTTAGAATAATTATGTTATTATACTATGGACCAATCAATTTAACAATTTTTATTGTTAGCTAATACTTAATCAGAAGTTTAACCTTAAAAACAACTGATTCCTTTTGATAATCTATAAGTCTAAGATATATATTAATACAGTTTAAAGAATACTACTCCAAGACTAAAAATATCACAAAGAGATGTCCAAGCCTTTTGTTAATCCTTTCTCATATTTACAATTTCAGGAGCCATATAACCTGGAGTTCCACATCTATTATATTGTAATTAGTTCTTAATGCTAAGTCCGAAATCAATAATTTTGACACAATTATAATGTTGTTAGGAAATCATTATATTTTATGGTTTAATGTCTCTATGTATTACTTATTCTTAATGTATTACAGCTAATGCCATTAATAAATTTTAAAGAATTGTTTTTATGTCTGATTCTTTAAGAATGTTTTAATTTTTCTTAAACTATTCGATTAAAGTAGACAATGCAATTCCATCTAAATATTCAACTATAATTCCATAATGATACTCTTCAACACGATAAACTTCATATATTTTTAGGACTGATTCATTATTGAAGGACTTAAGTATTCCTATTTCATTTTCGACTAATTGCTACTAATATTAAAATATTATACCATATTTTCTATTTTGATCGTTTATTTACTTGATACTTATTTCATTGCGAATACTTTTTTATCATTTATTCTAAATATTTTATATACAGAAGAAAATGATCCTTTCCCAATTAATTCATCAACTTTATAGTGATCTTCAAAGGAATGGAACCCAATTAAACAACTAATTTCCTATCGAAATTTTTGTAATTATTCTGAAGTTGCTTCAAAGTACTTCACATTCTTTCTAAAATATTCTCATTTTTCAAAATTTACTTATATATTATACCAAAGGCACGATTTTAACCATGTTCTTACTTCCAATAAACTATATTTTTCAAATTCAATTCTAATATATACTTAGGAAAAGGATCATTGATATGCTAAGATTATGATTGATTATTTACATCTCCTATTGTAATCATATTGGGTAAAGCATGAACATAGTAAATTTTATCTTTAAATAAGTGCCGACGTATACATTTGAACGAGTATTTAACAGTCCCATAATTTATGGGTGGTTGTATTTAAGGTGTTTCACCTATTGTTTAGAGCATATAAATATTAATAGATTCAATTTGTTAAACTAAATAAATTATTTGGAGTGGTTAAAATAATATTTAATAAATGGACATCCTATTAACCAAAAGAACTGTTCATCATTAATCTTAATTACTGTTTTCACTTAGATGAAAATAAATGAATGAGAAAATAAATAACATTAATCTAATCAAATTTAGTAGTTTTTATAAAGAGAGAGAAGATTAACGAAATAAGATAATTAGTTTATTTTATTACTTAGATTATTATTGAAACTCATAATGATTTGAAGATAGAAATAGATGTTTCAGTTATTTATCTATGATACTACTATTTTTAGTATTTTAATAAAAGTATATTAAAATTATAAATTAACTAATCAGAAAATTGTACACTCTCCACAACAAGCTCTACTTTTTGGTTGTTCTTTAATTTCTCTTCTTTCATAATGTGATTTATTAGAACTTTCTCTTAATACAACAGATGTGACTATGGATTTTTCATCTTCTTCCATAATAGTGGTTTCCATTTGACTGAGTAATAACTATACTTTCTATTCTTAAGTATTTATCATTTCATCTATTTCATATTAAAGTCTTTATTTTTCCTCTAACATTTATTACATTTGTAGTTCTTCATTTTTTGCATTTTTTTCTTTTAATAATTATTTTTGTTCTTATTTCTTTTATTTCAAAAGCATCTTTTCATCTATTTCTTATTGTTTTAATTTTTCTTATTTCATTCTTCTTTTCATAAATTGCTAATTTTATTTATTGATTTATTCTTATTCTTTAATCTCAAAATTAATGTCTTACAATAGTAATTGTTTATCCTTAATTAAATTAGTCAATTCATTTAAAATTACTTAATCTTTGTTTGTTTGTTTCATGTATTAGCAAATCATATCTTCCAATTCATCTATTTTCTAAATTAAAATATATAAAAACTACCTAATTCATAGTAAATATTTGTTCATCTTATTTGCATGTTTCTTAATCTATCTCTTCCAATTACGAAAAACATTTATCATTCATCTCTTATATTACATCATCTATATGTTTTTCATCAAAATCTAGAACATGTTGATAAATTTCATTTTTATTATCATCTTATATTTTAACGACAATATTTTCTGTTATATCATTCTCAGCTTCAATTTTATTTTACAGTTCCAATACTAGAGAGAGTGCTCCGTACAATTATTCTTAGTAATAAGGTATGGCATCTAAAGACAATTAATCAACAACAGTTTAATCCATTTTTAATAATAATAAATTTTATATATATAACGAATATTTAGCGGGTAATTTTAATCATAATTTCTATTTAGGTATAAATTCAAAAGGGGGAGGTTTGGCTTATTTAACTTATTGAGATTTTATTAATGGTGTTTTAACATTTGCTAATTATTGTAATACTTCCTAACTAACTTAAAAGCTGAATGGTAAATTTAAAGGTTATTATTATTATTATTATTATTATTATTATTATTATTATTATTATTATTTTCTTTTATCTTCTTCTTCTTTAATCTTTATATTAAGTAAATCCAATTTAGATACATATTTCTTTTTTACTAATTCTAATTCTTCATACATCTATTATTCAATTTAATTTTTCAATTTCTTTTTTTCATCCAAATTCATATTTTATATCTGTACTTCTAAACTCAATTCTTTTGTATGTTCTACTTTCTTTTTTTAATGATCACTTATTTATTAATCCATTTTATTCCATTTTAAAAAATCAGGTTCATCCTTTGCTTGTATCATTTAATCCTTAATTACAAGAGTACCATAATCAGCATTAGATATCTCATCTTCTATCTCTTCACAATTTGAAATTATAGTTAATGGAACCTAATCTTTTATTGATTATAAACTATGATCATTTTTTTTTAATTTTGTTTATCTTGCTTCCTCTATTTTCTTAGAATATTATTCTACTAAATTTAGTAACTTTTTTAAATGTTGTTTCCCCTATTTTATAAAAGTATATTGTAATAATTATTATGCAGTAGGTCTTTCATTTACTTCAACTCTTAAACAAGCCTTAACAAACTAATTAAACTCCTTAGACCATAATTCAGGTTTAGTTAGTCCCATTGGTGGATTATTCTTTATGGCAAACATAGCTCTGACTGGATGAATATGAGAATAAGGTGGAGCCCCTTCTGCCAATTCTATAGCTGTTACTCCTAAAGACCAAATATCAGTCAATTAATTATAACGAGATTTACTAATCACTTCAGGACTCATCCAAAATGGAGTTCCTATAAATGTTCCCTTTATTTTTATATGAATTTTGTACTTTATCTGCACATGAATAAGTTAATTAGGCAGCAACACCAAAATCTGCTAATTTCACTTAACCCTTATGATCAAGTAAAATATTCCCTGCTTTTATATCCCTATGGATTTTCTTGTTTGAATGGAGATACTCTATCCCCAATAATGTTGAATACATAATTGCACTTATCTCTTCCTAACTCAACCCTCTCTCCATGACTTCCATAAGTCCTAATACAGAACCTGTAGAACAATATTCCATTAATAACCAGAGATTATTTTCTTTATAATAGGAGCCCAAAAAAGACACAATATTAGGATGTTAACAATCCTTATTAGATAAATCTTACTTTCAAAATCTTGATCTCTTATACTAAATTGTCAACATCATCAACCATTGGAATTATTTTAATTGCCACTATTTATCCATCTTCTTTGTGTCTTCCCTTATATACAGTTGCATATGCTCCTTCACCTATTAATTCAAGTAACTCAAATTCCTCTTCTGGATCATGATTCCAATACATTTTAACTTATAAATTAAGAATAATATTGTTTTTGAATTTAACAAAATCAAATTAATTATATACTCATCTTACTTGGAATGTTTCATCAACTATTTAAAGATCTTAATATGCATAATTGATATATTTAGCTATCTGTATAAATTGACCCTTTATTTTGTATTCACTCTTCCCTTCCAATATTTCAAAATATTATCCATCATTAAAAGAAAGCACAATCTTATAATGTAAAGTAGAATTCTAGATTGCTACAACAATAAACCATAATAATATTACAATCCATCCCTCTCTTAACCATTCTCATATTACTTAAATGTGAAATTTTCTATTCCATAACATTCTTTTGACAACAAATATTTCTATAACACAATATTATCTCATCTCTCTAAGTATATATTTCATTTTACTTCTTTATTGAATATTAGCTTCTCCCTCTTTATAGCAATCAAAAAACTGATCCCTATTCCCATAATAATAAAACTAACAAAATACTACCACCATGTAGTTCCCTACTTAAACACTTTCCCTTCCAATCCCCAAATCAAATTGTAAAGCAAATATAAAGATAACAAAATTATCAATATCCCTATTCCCCAAATACTAAGCCAAATGATTATTATAATACAATACAGGAACTCTATATAAAATTAATGACTTTTTATCTTTTGAAATGCTTTTCATTATTTTTTCTGCATCTACCTCATAATCAATATAAAATACGATTCAACTATTTCTCAGTCAACTCTATATCTTCATTCTTTCCAGGGATATATTATTAAGATCTCTTTGATCTAGAAATAGCAGATATTGCACCAACTGTTCCAAACTTCATTATTTATAGATATGATTATAAAATATTAATAAAATGATTTTGAGTTTATAACCAAATTAATTACAATACTGATCTTCTTTATTTTTGGATTAGAATATTTATATTGAATAACTATGACTATCGTTAAACAAAAATATGTATTTCTATCTATAATTTTGATATCTAATAATGGATTTATATAATCAATTTAATTTAATAAAATCAATTAGTAATATTTTTTCAAAAATGAATATGAAGAATTTTTAATTAAATAGAAATAGGATTGTCTTTCTAATTATTTTAATAATTCAATTTATTACTTATTTAATAGAAAAGTTAGTTTGAACAAATAATTTATGTATTTTAAATTATGTTTAAATGATTCATAAAATTTAGAAAATTAAAACTTTTTTTTAATTAAAAAAAATCAAGGTTCTTTAGGCTATCATCTTATTTGAAATGTGCAATATTTGATATTAACAATTCAATTATACTTATGAATAGTTATAATTATACATGAATTTAAATGATTGAAATTTATATTAAATTTTGAAAAGTTGTAAATGAAATTGAAGTAAAATTTGTGATAAAATAATTTAAAAGAAAAAAAAAGTAATAAGAATCAAATTATGAAGGTATATCTTAAAGCTATATACTTTTCTATAGAACTTAATAGAAAAATAATCAGGTTTAAAAAAGGAATTCTAAAAAAGGGCTTGATGAAATTAATTAAATGTTTTAAAACTAATTAATTAAGATGAGAACTTCTAATTATCATTAATATGATGATATATATTTCTAAAGATATTATAAAAAGATTCAGAATCAATCCAACAGTAAGAGGGGACTATTTGATCTAAGTCTCTTTTGAGTTACATTCTTTCTTAACAATCTATTAACAGAAGGATTTAACACTAATTTGTCAGCAGTATTTCCAAGAGTATCTAAAATAATATTTTAACTTCTTAATTTCTTTTCTTTCCAATACAGCTATTCTTTTATTAAAGGATCTGTTTTAGTTTGTACTCCCAAATTATGTAGATATCGAACGATCTCTACTTCAGTTTAATATTCTTTTTAGTCTATATAGTATTCAATAGAGTCATTCAAATCAGTTGTAGACATAGGGCTAATTTATGTTGAATTTGAGCCCAGAAGTGCAAAAACAGGATTTAAATGATTAAAGGTTTGCTTCATGGAATCACTTTGCAGGTATTTTAATTTAATATTTTATTGATATGTTTCAAATATAGTAAATATAAATGCTCTCTCAATTGATTTATTGTGTTTAGAAAAGCTAAGAAAATTTTACAAAGGTTAATAAAATTTCAAATTCTAAGTATGCAATTTCAACTACATTTCATTAATTCTTATGAAAAAATGAAAAAAACTGAATAATTAAGACTAAGTTAAATTTGAATATAGTATTATTCATTTTATTACCAAATTAAGGAAAAACAATAAATTATAAGGCTTATGATCTTAAATTAACAGTTGAGTTATTGAAATATAAAACTGAATAATATAAAAATTATGGTAATTAATTTTTATTATTATTCTTACACATGTTAGAATTAAATGGATCTAAAATTCAATTAAGAATTTAAGATCTTCTATTGTTTTGATTGATTTGAAGTAAAAATAAGAATGGAATTATTATTTTAATTTTACTATTTTATTATGAATAATAAGATTTATTAATAAATTGGAATTTACTTAATTTAAAATAAAATTATTATGAGATACTGTCTAACAAATTAAATCAAAGGATGAAATAATAATTAATATAATTTGTTAATTTTTAAATAATCCTATACTCTTAAAATATAAAATAATCATGATATTAACTTTTCTATAATCTCTTATTAAATGTTATAAGCTTAAGGTTTAAAAAATTCTATGGTTTTCATATTTTTATAATTTGATTACANGAACTTAATAGAAAAATAATCAGGTTTAAAAAAGGAATTCTAAAAAAGGGCTTGATGAAATTAATTAAATGTTTTAAAACTAATTAATTAAGATGAGAACTTCTAATTATCATTAATATGATGATATATATTTCTAAAGATATTATAAAAAGATTCAGAATCAATCCAACAGTAAGAGGGGACTATTTGATCTAAGTCTCTTTTGAGTTACATTCTTTCTTAACAATCTATTAACAGAAGGATTTAACACTAATTTGTCAGCAGTATTTCCAAGAGTATCTAAAATAATATTTTAACTTCTTAATTTCTTTTCTTTCCAATACAGCTATTCTTTTATTAAAGGATCTGTTTTAGTTTGTACTCCCAAATTATGTAGATATCGAACGATCTCTACTTCAGTTTAATATTCTTTTTAGTCTATATAGTATTCAATAGAGTCATTCAAATCAGTTGTAGACATAGGGCTAATTTATGTTGAATTTGAGCCCAGAAGTGCAAAAACAGGATTTAAATGATTAAAGGTTTGCTTCATGGAATCACTTTGCAGGTATTTTAATTTAATATTTTATTGATATGTTTCAAATATAGTAAATATAAATGCTCTCTCAATTGATTTATTGTGTTTAGAAAAGCTAAGAAAATTTTACAAAGGTTAATAAAATTTCAAATTCTAAGTATGCAATTTCAACTACATTTCATTAATTCTTATGAAAAAATGAAAAAAACTGAATAATTAAGACTAAGTTAAATTTGAATATAGTATTATTCATTTTATTACCAAATTAAGGAAAAACAATAAATTATAAGGCTTATGATCTTAAATTAACAGTTGAGTTATTGAAATATAAAACTGAATAATATAAAAATTATGGTAATTAATTTTTATTATTATTCTTACACATGTTAGAATTAAATGGATCTAAAATTCAATTAAGAATTTAAGATCTTCTATTGTTTTGATTGATTTGAAGTAAAAATAAGAATGGAATTATTATTTTAATTTTACTATTTTATTATGAATAATAAGATTTATTAATAAATTGGAATTTACTTAATTTAAAATAAAATTATTATGAGATACTGTCTAACAAATTAAATCAAAGGATGAAATAATAATTAATATAATTTGTTAATTTTTAAATAATCCTATACTCTTAAAATATAAAATAATCATGATATTAACTTTTCTATAATCTCTTATTAAATGTTATAAGCTTAAGGTTTAAAAAATTCTATGGTTTTCATATTTTTATAATTTGATTACAAATACTCATCAATAGTACCAATTTCATCAACTATTCTCATAATTTTCATGATGTTTACTTTAATTTTTTAGCCTAATAGCCATTTAATATGGAAGATTAAAAAATCTCATTTAAACAGTCTGTTTATTCATGTAAATTTATGAATTTTTTAGAAAGATTCAATGTTATTTGTTTTTTAAGTTCTATTTCATTATTTTTATTCATATTGTTTAACCATTCTTTATCTGTCTCTTTAAATGGTTATAATGGATTCAATCTATCCTTATATTTTCCATGTGATAAATTCACAACATCTAGATTTTGATCTTTTATTAATTCAGAAATATTCCATATTTATCCTGAAAAAGTATAATCTCCAATTTCTGAATTATTTGCTGAAATGATCTTATCCCCACAACTTAATATGATATTTGCACTATTATAAACTTGAGCTCCTGCAAAGCATAAAATAGGGAGTCTAAATTTAAATAAATGAAATACTTTTGTTTTTAAGCAAATTTTTAAAGTAAATATTATATTTACTTGGCTTAAACTACAGATCCTCCTTAACAATCAATTTGAACAGCAAGTACTTTTGGTTAATAAAATGTTATATTTTCTAATTAATTTCTTATTAATTATGTTAATTTTGAAGTGATGGGTCTTTGAATATTGATTCTAATAATCCTGTTTAATAAATTCATGAATAATTAAATTAATTTCAATAATATTCTTATATCTCTATTGAATAATAATAATAATATTAAACCATTTCATATATAATTTAGATGATTAAATAATAATAAATAGAACTAATTGAAATACTTTGTGAAATTCTATAATAATAATTTAAAGAAATCATTATTTTATATATTTATTTTATTTTAATTTCTATTAATATGATTGAATAGTATGAGCTAGATCAGATAATAGGTATAAGAAATTAATTTGGACCTAATAGATATTAAGTTATTTCAGAATCACTTTTCTTTGAAAGTCATGATTTAAGTAATTCTTTTGATTATTAAGTAGTTGATTAAGCAGCAAATATAATTATGTAATAGAAAGATAGAGAATAGTAATCAAAATTTGATAAAAATGATCACTTCATTATTTTTGCTATGAATATATTACAACAGAAAGCATTTACATAGTACAAGATATTTAATTCATAATTTATAAAAAAATTTCGAGAAAGTAATTCTGAAAATACTTTAATCACCAGTTTAAATAAAATAATAAGAGAAAATTTAGATATGACAAACACAAAAAAAAATGATGTTAATTAGAATTAAGGAAATACTTAATCAGAAAAGTAGCAAGAACAATAAAAAAAAGAAGTTTAAAAATAAGTATTATGATTATAATTTTAGGATGTTATTATAATAGAATTAGAAAATTCAGAAATTAGTGATATAATCAGAAGGAAAGTTAATTAATTAGATGAAGGTTTTTATATAGAACTATTAGAGAAGAAATCTGCATATAGTTTTGAATTTTGGGAAAATTAAGATACACTAAGACAAGTTTATTAAAAAGAAATTTCAAAATTAATTTAAAATATGTCACAAAATTAAACTATGATATATTTAACTAGCAAAGAATTCTAACTAAATGATGTAAAGACTCATTTTGAATAAAATTATACTATTAAGATAAATTCTAATGGGACTGAAGAACTTTCTTAAGATTTTAATAACAATGTAACTGAAAAATTTATTCCTTTAATAACTTTTAATTAATTATTTAAAGAATAAGTGATTTATCCAATTTTGGAATTATCTAAATTAAATAGATAAGTGAATTTTTAAGAAATTAGTAATCGTATAGGTTGTATTTAAAATTAAACAATTGAAGTATTTCTAAAATTGATAGAAACTTTTGAAAATTGCAAATAAATTATAAGATGGGTTAATGTAAAAGTATTTAATATTCATAGTTAATAGAAAATTATTTATAAGAAAAATCTGTATCTAAATCATAAGTTCCTTAAAATCAAGAATAATAATAAATTGAAAAAATCCAAACTTATCTAAATTAATGTTATTAATTTTATGATAAAAGATTTCAAGATAAATTTTATAATATAATGTAAGAGAATTCGTATGATGAATTCTAAAATAGTCGATAAAAAGTAGAAAATAATTAAGATTGTAAGGATGCTTTATCTTGCACTCATTTTAGCATTGTATTGTATGAAATTAAAGAAAATGCTTTACTTCTCTATTAAGGATTCAAAATTGGATCAGAAATTTTCAATGTACTAGCAAAACTTGATTTTCCTGAAAAAAACGAGTAATCAAATCAAAAATAAAAAAATTAAACAATCTCTGAATCAACTGAAATTTAATATGTAGATATAAGTTAAATTAGTTTGGTTGAAAAAGAAGAAGGAAGGACAGTCTATACGTATTTATCTTTACTTATATAAGACTTAAATTTTTGTTGAAGGAAGAGAATTATTAACTGATTTTAAATAAAAATCAAAAATATCGAAATCTAATTATGGAGTAAATAATCAAATATTAATAATAGAGTATTAATGAAAAGTGTTGCCATTAAGGTCAAATAGACAATGTTTAATCCTACATCTAGAAAGTTTGCAAATAAAATTGTATAATAATTTTATATTTGATAATAATGAGGCTTAAAGCAAATTTAAATTAGTTTTATTATATGCAATTCTAATTAAATTTCTATTTTCTATTTATAATCCTTAAATTATTCTAAATAATTATTTCACTTTTCTATATTTTCTTTGTTTACTTAATGTTATAATTTTAAGTCATTTTTTAATGGCTACAAAGAATACAAATACAGAGGAACCACAAAATAAGAATATATTTATATTACTTATTTATAGAAAAAAAATTATGTATTACTCCTGTTGGTATTCCATTATGATTAATATACTATAGATTAAAGTTAAGATTGATCTTGAAACCCCTAAAAAGTATTTCAAAATAAAAACTCTATGAAATTTATTAATGTGGTTATTTTGCAAGAATTAAGTTAATCCATTATGATTAACAATGACTGTAATTATTGTAATAAAATAGAATAAACAATTAATTAGATGAGGAATAATAATGAATTTAAAATTTGGATTACATTTAGAATCATCACAATACTTATCATCTTTTATTTAAGAAGACAAGATTGTGTATTTTAAGGATTTAGATTAAGGGAAAAGGAACTTTTGGCAATCATTATTTTATACTAGATATCACGAAGATTAACTATTTCAAACTTAACAAACATAATCAATAAATAAACAGGATATCTTATAATAAAAATAAATCTACAATAAATATCAAAATTTTATGTTAATTAAGGAATAACTCAAAATGAATTTATATCCAATAGATGAAAAAGTATATTATGATTATGTGTATTTTGATGGGGAAGAGTAAAAAATAGGAATAATATATTTGCAATTGATTGTGAAATGGTGTTGACAGAAAATAGATTAGAAATGACTAGAATGTCAATTATAGATTATATTTACAATGTTTAGTCAAACCATAAATTAAAATCATAGATTATAGCACTAAGTATTTAAAGAATTATACTATTCTAGATATAGTGAGAATATGTTGAGTAATGTTACTGTTACATTGATAGAAGCATAAAAGATGATTATATCTATTTTAGTTTAAGATTCTATATGAATCATTCTTTAGAGAATGTTTTAAATGCTTTTTTGATAATACATCATAAATGTGTGGATACTAGTGTCCTTTATATGACAGAAAGTGAAAAAAAATAATCATCAAAAATTTAGTTTATAAATATTAAAATTTAAGTAAATAAATTTATTAAAATTAATAGGACACACATAATTCAAATAAAGATGCTAAAATTGCATTTTCTTTGGCTAAGTTGAGCATTGAAATTATGGATCATATTCTTAATATTCTATTTACATAATAATAAACGAATACTCCTGATGTCTTAATTTAACTTAAAAATTTGGGACGCATACATTTAATTGAATCAAAATTGGAAGTAGAATTTCTATTAAAATATGATATTGATTTTGAAGATAAAGATTAAATCACTGATGAATAAAGTTATTATCTTTAATATATTTATAGATGAAAAGAATGGTTGAATTACTTTAATAAAGAAATACTAATGCAATCAATCCAAAATTAATATTTGAATAAATATAGTATAACTTTGAAGAATTTTAATCATCCTTTTAGACCATAAATAATTTAGCACCTTCTTAAACAAGTAATTTGTTTAAGTAATTTTTAAGTATTTAAATGGTCAATAGGAGGACATTAGCAATAATTTATGTTTATTATAAAATGATAATTTTATATTATCTTCATTTATTTTTAAATTATTATAAAAAATTACATATTCTAATATATCCGATTTTATTTCTCTTATTTATCATCATATCTATGAGTATGCTATTATTCATCTTATTCTTAATTCATATATCCCTTTAGTTTGAAGATATAAATTTGAAATTTAAAATTATTTGAATTATTTTAATTTGGGTACATAAACATATGTCCAGTAATCCATAATAATAATAAATAAAATTAAATAAGTTCGGATGGCAGAAAGAAACATAAGCTAAAATTCAATTGAATCTGATAAGCTAAAATTTGATATAAATACACGAAGCTCCTAAGAAGTGAGAAAAGAATATGGATCAATTAGGCCATACAATTATAATTGTAATTAGTTAATATTAATATAAAGGCTAATTAGATTAATATAATGTGAAATTATGTGGAGTAGTATTTGATGCTATAGGGCAACCAGATTTCTTCTTGAAGAATGATAATTTGGAAACAAAAATCGATACTCTAGAATGATTAAAGCACAGATGATTAATAAATATATATTATTTATATATTATTGATCGAAAAGATGTGTATTTTTATAACCAAATTATTCTCTTTTTTTATTAAACCTCCTTTTCTTTATGAGAATACAAGTTTAAAATATTTTCACTTTTAAAATTTTATAAATACTGAATAAAGACCACATCTTAGATTTTATTGTCACAAAATAATTATTTTTTTAACCTATAAAGCAAGCCTATAAAATATCTTTTGGCATTAATAAGAGGCGATATAATTTTCTTAATAATATTTTTTAATTATCTTCATAAATTAATAAGCTGATCTTCATTTCATATGATTTATTGAAGCCCTAAAATCTATATTAGAAGGTATTCAGTAAGAAAATTTTTTATATGCATTTTTTAGGATTTAAAAACAATAATATAATTTTTTCTTAGAAAAATAGTCAATTTTTTTCAAGCTAAAAATTGTCTTTCTAAAAAAATTCATAATGTAATTATTGCTCATATAAATTGAGATTCACTCTATTTTTTTCAATAAAAAATTGAATTATATATATATAAACATATTTTAATGAGATTTTGATAATATATAATATTAATTTAAATGGCCGAAACAAAAGAGGAAGTTAAGGCTTAACCTAAAGTATATTCATATGCAGATTTAATCGAATTCGAAAATAAGCAAGCTTTTAGTTCAATAGGGAAAATGCCACTATCAACAAAATAAACTCTGCCTAGTTTTAGTTTCGGCTCTGCTGAACGTGCAAATTAAGCTAAGATTTATCACAACAAAGAACTTGCTAGAATAGATTTTGGTGGTAAGAATATTATATATAACCAAATTAAGGTAAGGCTAGTCCTGGGCCTGTTTATAATGTAAGAGGAGGAGATCAATTTTATTATACATAAGATGCAAATACAAAGTTTGGAACTGATGCTCGTAATACTTTGAATACAGGAGCCAAATTTGATTATTATTAAAGGAAAGATGTGGATGTAAACTTGAAATTGAATAATGATAGTTTGAACCTTAAGAAGCAGATTTGATTCGAAAACCCAAATATCCAAACGTTAAGATTGGATTGGAATCTAGAGTATGATTCAAATATATTTAGTTCCCTCCTGAAAAAAGATTAAAGGGAACACCTGGACCTTAATATGATCCAGCAATAAAGCCAGAAGTGCCCACTCCTGCTCAATATTCTTTTGGATATAGAAGAGATATACCAGGTGCATCTGCTTTGGCTCCTACTTGTTCAACTCCAGTGATAGTGGGTCCAGGAGCATATTTGTAGAAACCTCCTGCAAATACAAGCAATTTAGAAGATGCTCCTCATTGGACATTACCAAAGGGACCAAAAATAGGAAAGATCTTTGAAGGATGGGATAAGAATTAAACATATGATACAAAATAGTATTCTTAATGAGATAAAAAGGATTGCTGTAGGAGTGCAAGTTAATTCTAAGAAAAAGTCATATCCAGCATTCAGTGTTGGTAAGTCAACAAGAGAAGCGAAAGTTGGACATTTTAAGTAATTAATGGTTAAGGTTCCATCTAAGGTGCATATACCTCATCCGAAAATATGATTATTTAAAGATTGCATATGAAGAATATAAATTAAATATATTTTACATTAATAAAAATAATGCAAAAATATTTAGGTGCTATCTACTACGAATTTAGATACTTGATGGGTCGTGCTTTTAAAGAGACTGGGTTGTGTAAGTGAGCATATGTGTAAACTGTATAGATTTTGATCAATATGGGTCTCGTTTGTCCAATGACATTGCTTGGTTAGAGCCATTATCAAGACACAGAAAGATTATGCCATTATTTGGATATTACAAACCAAGAATAAGTGAATCAGCCAGCATTTAAGATAATGCAAGTTTAATTGGGTAAGTAAACCTTGGAGAAAATGTTCAAATTGGATATGGAGCTATCCTAAGAGCAGATGATCAAGCTATCAGAATAGGTTCAAACAGTGTTGTTGGTGATAATACAGCAATACAATGCTCTAGAACTCGACTTCCTACAAATGTATTGGCAAGTGTAACCATTGGTATGTCTTTTAATATTATCTCTTAGGCCAAAATGTTACAATAGGGGATAGTTGCATTATTAATAATTCAATAATTGATGATAACGTTACTATTGGATCAAGAACACTTATACTTGATGGTGCTCAAATTGAAAGAGGTTCATAGATTGCTGAAGATAGTGTTGTACCTCCAGGAAGATTGATTCCTTCAGGATAATTATGGGCAGGGAATCCAGTATAATTTGTTAGAAACTTGAATGAAAAGTAGATCAATTGAAATCATAATATAATAAATATAATATCAGTATAAATCAAATATGGTCTTCATATAAAATTGAACATGTTTTCTGTATGTTTATATATTTTCAAAATGAGAAAGTAAGTCTAACAATTAAGATGGTTTACTTTTTTTCATTTTTGTTGCTAATCTTGAGATCAATTATCTATCAATATTATGTTTTTATTTTGCTGCATATATTAATTCACCCACATTAAATTATATTATACTACTTTCATGACCTTAAAAATTAAATCCATAATCTTCTTCTTTAAACTATTCTAATTGTTTTTATGTAACATCTATGAAACCTAATATTAATTCAGGAATTCCACGAATCATTCCCCTTACCATAAGATAATCCCAACATCTAATGCAATCATCTAACTTAAATACATATATAAATAGCGATAAAATCATTTTGCTAATCCAAAGTGAATCATTTACATTTTTCAGATTCAGTTTTGGAAACTTTTTACGTATTAAATGATGTATCAATTTGGTAAAAAAGAAATGTAATGGCATATCATGACAAAAATTAAAGCAAAGTAAATGTTTTTCATTAGTTAACATTTACATAAAACATTAAAAAGTTTTATGTTCATCACATCCAGACACAATCAAAGTTAAAGCACATACAAAATTCATTCCTTAACAATAACCTACTCCTGGTAATGCATTTGATATGGCACAGAGAATTCTTTTAAGTTATTCTTAACCACAATTCTCATGTTTAAATAAAGCATGATTCACTAACGTTCGGTCTATATCTTTCAGAATGTTTTTAACATCAATTGGCATATATTCCAAATACTTTTCGTATGATAATTGCATTTTTCCATTAGTCAAAAGAGCCTTCCAAGTAGCCCATCTATATTATTTAGGAGGTCCTAATAGTACTAGTTCTTCAAATTCTGGCTTATTGTATAATAGATTGACGGTTGTTTAGATATCATCAGCATAGTTCAAAGTGGCAATTGCTTAAGACCATCTTTAAGCTGAATGTTCATTTCTATAATAAGGTGTTGAAGGTCCACATTAGACCATCTTAAAAAAATTATTATTTTCTTTATCGATTAATGTTTAAACACAAGAACCTGATTTTAGATCTTCTCTTTTCCATTTTGTATCTGGAGATCCTTAACGAGGTACATTATTTTATATTTCACCTAAGCAGACATTGTTGTTTCCCATTTACTAGATAAATAAAATTATTGATAAAAAATTAAAAAGTATTAGTTAAATATCAAAAATATTTATTAATTAAAATCTCATTAATTAATAATTAAAATACATATGAATTATTAAAACAAATAATACAATAATATCATTTAATCATTTTTGCATCATAACCAGTACCTGGAGCTAAAATTTTGATTTTTGGTACACTAGGTAATGAGCGTAAATAATTCTTCCAATCTAACCTATAATTATTGGTGTAGTAGAATGGTGTAGCAGGTTTCTGATATTAATTAGACTATCTATTTCCACTCACAAATCCAGCAGAGTTGACACGTTATAGAGGTGCTTAGTTAACAGTGTTAATCGATTTAAATGGCTATTTTGTTATTCCAGAAGGAGCGCGTACAACAGCAAGAGCTTACTGTTTTTGCATTAATTATTTATTTAATACAAAAAAGAATACTTGTCAATTATAACAATTTATGATAATTACACATTAAATATTTGAAGACTATCATTAAATTAAGCTTTATTGTATATAATGAATGAGTTTTAGAAACCTCTTAAATAAATTTGAATTTATTTATAATAATAATTAGAGATTATAGAAGTATATATTGCATAGCAAATATATATCTATCAAACTCTAATAAAACTATAAAATAAATTTATAAAATGGTTATTTTGGTAGTTGATTTTGAAGATAAATTAAATATTGGTATTTTGAATACAGATATACATCCACTTACTTTAATATTATTTAAGAGAAATTGAATTAATTTAAGATGTTTATTTATTTAAATGAGAATCCTAGAAAGCTTTTATTCAACATAAGAACAAGTGCCTATAAATAGAAAAGTCAATTAATTAAAATTTTGATGTTAGGTGATTAATATAATTTATGATTAAAAAATGAATTGGTATATATATGAAGACGGTTGACAGAATGAAAAAGAGCAAGAGGAAGGAAGATATTTTGGAGATATAAGAAGGAAAATATACCTTAAGAAGTATCAGAGGAAGAAAATTAATATTTGAAAGAACTTTTTTAAGAGATTACCAAGGCTATATAGTTATTGAAGACATAATAAAAGAAGTAAAAAATAATAGGATTTATTTGGTTAAGTATTTTTAGGTAGCATCTAAAATTTGTATAGTATTAATGAATTTCTTTGTTGATTTAATTAAATTTAGAAATAAATATTTTAGGTGGTTTATGTTTATCTAAGGATACAAAAAAGTAAAATAGAATATTGAATTTAAATATTAAAAGTGAATTAATTGTTATTTCATCATTTTTTTTCTATTTATTATGAAATCTTATTGATCTTAAAATAAATTAAAAACTTTAAAATTTAAATTGAACCAGATGTTTCTAATTTGAGTATATTCCATTATTGATTTAATTTTCAATCAATCAAGTTAAATAAATATCCATATTTAAATGTATTCACACCATTTGTGTAGATTGTTTGAAACAGTATGATTTTACGATTAATTATCACTAGAAGTATAAAAATTTGTTTTGGTTTATTATGTTAATTAGAATACCCACCATGTGTATAATTTAAATGAATTGTTGAGTATTTACCAATTTAGAATTTCATTATATTAGATTAAAATTTGTTTTAGAGAAAGTCAAGTAATGTATATATTTTAGTTTTTATTATTTAATATTTATTTATGTGTTTGATTATCTTGAATAGATGAAAATTGTGTAATACAATAATGAATAGAGAGATTATTATTATTATTAAAAAAATAATGATTGACAGAAGACATGAGAAAAAGAAGAGTGATGGTAGTAATACGTTAAGGATCAAAAAGAGAGAAAGTGAGGAAGTAGAACCTAACAATCAATTTTAGAATTCAGATCGGTTTAATTCTAATCATTCATAAATTAAGCATTCACTTAATATTTCTGATAAAAGTAGTGTTCTTGGTCTCTAAAATCCTTTATTATCATAGGATAGCATCTCTGATAGAGAAAATAGAAGTAAAAGACATTCTTAGGATGAATTAAAAATCAAATTAGACTATGAATAACCAATTCCATTAATTCATTTAATTGAACATGAAATAAGATTACGTTGTCGACCAGATTTAATCAAATAAACAAAATGTCATGGAGATGTGAGTGAACAGGTCATAGTTAATAACAAAATAACTGTAGACATTGACGTTGATCAGGATATTTTACGCAAATATAATAAACATTGTATTCGAGACTACAAACTTGATCCATACTATATTAAATTAGTAGAACTTCATGGGTATTAAAGAATCAAACATGAATTGCAGGTACTCTTTTAAATTTAATATATATATAGAATTATAATGATCCTTATACTTTGCTCAATGTACGTAAGATTATTGTTTATATCTCATTTGTTATTCCTATTATTGCAAAGTCTATAATTAATTCAATAGTATTTTAATTATTAATGACAGTATTGATTCTTTTTAATATCACTTTATATGTAATTGTGAAAACTTAACATCGTCATGATACCGATTAAATTGAATAAATCATTTCCATACTATTTTTTACTGAAATTGGATTACGTATAATTTCATAAGGACTTTTCTTTTCAAAAAATGCTTATTTTTTTAATTTCTCTAATATATTTGATTTTTCAATTGCATTACTATCAGCAATTAATTTATATAGACCAGATATAGTTATAATAGATTTATCACCACTTCGTATAATAACTTTATTATAATATTTGGGTGATATTTTTGATGGTTTAAGAGTAATGTTAACAGCTTTAAAATAATCAATAAGATATATATTGGAAGCATTGGCAATTGTAGGATTGTTTTCATTATTTTTTGCTTTGGCTGGAGTGTTTTTATTTTAAGGATTATTTAATTATAGATGTGTTCCAATAAATGAAGAGATGGGAGATGATTGGATTTAATGTAATGTAGATTAATGTCCTGAAGGAATGGAATGTAAATATGTAGAATAGACAATAAAATTACCAACTTCATTTAATAATATAATATATTCATATGGTTAGATTTTGAGAACTATTACAATGGATGATTGGAGTTGGGTAATGTTTTTTACAATTAGAATATTTAATCCTTGGGTTTGGATGTATTATTTATTGATAATATTTGTATGTGGATTTTTTAGTTTTAATTTGGTAATAGCAGTATTGAAAACTCATTATGCAGAGGCAACTGAATAATTTTTTCATTAATAGGAATAGTAAGAAATTAATAGAAGATTATTAGAAGAGAAATCAAATCAAGATAGAGATGTTACAGATGTTTTTGATGTTGCAATGCTTCGTTAAATTGGATTTCATAAGACATTTAAATAATATTATAAATTATTAAATTAATCAAAGAAAATTAATTAATATAAATTAGAAGATTTTAAATTAAAAAATTTCACATAACCAAGATTGTTATCAGCCAAATAAAGACTTAATAAAAATATAAATGTAAAATATTATTATGATCGATTTCTTAGAATAATTGTTTTGATAAATTATATGAATATTTAAGAAATTTGACATTCAAAAATATCTTGTTATCCAAATTCAAATGTCTTAGTAAACAATAAAAAGAAATTAATTTAAAAAATTATACTGATAATGAAGATTATCTTAAAATTTTGGAAGATCTTACTAAATTTGAATTCTCCTAATTATCAAAATAAGTTAACCCAAAATAATATCAAAAATATACAAGTTTAGAAGAAGTTTTACCATCTTTTGCGTATTAATTATATTTATATCAAATAGTAATATTTAAAATTCCAAGTAAAATATTGATGATAAAGTTATTGATTATGCCAAATATAAATGTTCATAAGAATATTTGATCCCATAATTCAATAAGAATAATTCATAAACATACAGATTCAACAATATACATAGCTTTAAATGTCCCATTAAAAAAAGTTAAAGAGCCAAAATTAATTAAGTATTTAAAGATGCAGAATCTTAAAGATCACATGTTGTTCTTACTAAATGTATTAGAAATGAAAAAAAGACATATAAAGCATTTAGCAAGTAAATGATAAAATCAAAACATACTATACCATTTTCAATTAAAAAGGCAAATGTTACATATCTATTTGTTTAAGGGTATTATTTGAGTTATGATAAAATTGCATTCAAAATGAAGTAGAAAATTGAAAAGGAGAAAATAAATAATCTTTCTTATGATTTAGAATATAAAAATATAAGAATGAAAGAAATTAAGAATAGGAGAATAGTTGATATTAATTGGTCAGGTAATGATGTCATTGAAACACAATATGCAACCTTTAAATTAAAAAATGTTTTAGTTACATTAAATAAAACAGATTTTATTGTTTGGATAAAAGGCTTATATGGTCTGTTACAAATATTAAGAAAATATATAAATAAGATAGTATCTAGTAAATTTACTGAAATTGCATTAGATTTACTTATATTTATTAATTTTACTTTCCTATCATTATATGGTATTGCAGATGCCTCTATAATTTCTGAAGTAGAAGATATCATTACTATTCTATTATCAATAGAAACATTCCTTCGATATTGTAGCATATCTTTTAAAGAATTATCAAAAAGTAATGAGAGTATTCTTTAAACCTTAATTGTTATTTTAAATTTTATAGAATATACAATGAGTGATTATATGACTAATTTAACTGAATAAAATTTAAGATTAATTAGAGGAACAAAATGTTTATTATTTTATAGATGTTTAAAATATAATAGTATGGCTGTAACTATTGGTCATATAGCATCTAAAACATTTAAATCATATATATATCTTACATTTTTAATGTTTGTTGTGATATTTTTGTATGCTTTAGTAGGTATGGAAGTATATGCAGGAGAGTTTGATTAGAATGATTTATTAGGATAATTACATTCATATGATAATATTCTAAAATCCTTTATGACTGTATTTAATATCATGACAAATGATGATTGGTATGGTGTATTTGTTTTGGGAACTGGAATAAATGAAACATTTGGAACAGTTTATTCATATTCAATGGTAATTATACTTAATTATTTAACATATGGATTAGTATTAGCTATATTATTGGATGGATTCAGTAAATATTTAGATAGATAGATATTTTCAGAAATAGAAGATTCTGAAAAATCTAGAATGCAATCTTCAAATAATGAATAATTAGATACAGAAAATACATAATAATAAATAGAAATTAATCCTATAGTATAAAATTAATAATTAGATTAAATAAAAAGTCGTAAAAGTAAATAAAAGACTGCTTTAATTCAACATCTAATAAATTCAATCAGATAAATTAATTAAAAAATATTAGATGCATCTCCTGAATTATATAATGGAATATAATGTGAATAATCTTTGTTTATTTTTAATAAAACTAATCATTTTAGAATGATGTGTATGATGATTGCAAGATCAAAATTTTATAATTTGATAAACGATGTATCTCTATCAGCATCGATAATTATTTTTATTATTTAAACATATAATGATTATGAAGAAAATAAAGAAATCTATCCACAAGAAGTTTAATTTTATCTCAACATTATTTTAGCAGTAGAATATATTATAAATGTTATTGCCAAAGGATTATTTATAGATATTGGTTCTCATTTCAATTCAATATGGTAAATTGTGGATGTGTTTTATTTGATATCATTCTTTTTCTAATATGAAAAAGATTATTATGTAAAACCAATCTTTTAAATCCTTCTCTATTTTGGATATTTTAGACCTTTTAATCTTTTGAATAGAATTAAATTTTTAAATGTATTAAGTTCAGCACTTTATCAATCTTTAGTAGATATATTAAATGTATTATTAACTCTCTTTTCAGTATGGATCATATTTGGAGTATATGGTATAATTCTCTATGAAGGATAATTTGGATTTTGTGAAGATAAAATGTAATTTAGAATAAATTATGAAGAATGTATACAATAAAATAAAACATGGGTTAATTTTAAACATAATTTTGATAATATTACAATGGCTATTCCAACATTATTTACAGTCTCCACTTTTGATGGTTGGGGTGAAATGTTATAAATTGCTTAAAATAGTGATAGTCGAAATGTTGGACCTGTACCTTTTAATAGTTATATACATACTTATGTATTTTTTATTACTTTTTGCTTTATTGGATCAATGTTTTTCTTGAGTCTATTTACTGGTGTTTTATTCTCTAATTTAAAAGCAAATCAAAGTAAAATTGAATAAGGAGATTTCAATTAAAATTAGAAAGAATTTATTGAAATATCTGAAATCATTACTAAAGACATTCCTGTATTTTCTACACCTCCAGATAATATCATTAGAAGATTAGCATCAATTATTATGAATAATTCTGCAATGTAATCTTTCTTTTTCTTTATCTTATTATTAGATGTAGTTAATAATATCTTATTTCATTCTGGTATGAATATGAAATATCTCAATATTATTAATTACATCCATCATGCATTTTCAATTTTCATTACTATTTGGAGTTTACTTCAATATTTGGCATTAGGATTATTTAGATTCTTTGATAATCATTGGAGACAATTCCTTTTAATTCTGAATCTCATTGCAATTACAGACCTTGCAATAGATTTCAAATATAATTGGGTAGAAACCTATTATTATTCCAGTCCTTTAACAGAATATTATAGACTTTATAGATTGTGTTTTGCATTAAGAAGCTTAAGATTAATTCTTATATTTTAAGGTTTAATTAATATTTAGAGACTCATGAGAGTTATGGTTTATGCATTACCATTTTTAGGTAAAATATTTTTTATTTTAATTGATACTATGTTAGTCTTTGCTTTATTTGGATGTTAATTATATGGATAAATAGATTCAGGATAGGTTATGGATGATCAAATTAATTTTCATAATATTGCTTAAGCTATGCTTACTTTATTTAAATGTGCATCTGGTGATGATTGGAGAACTATTATGACTGATACTATGCATCATAATCCAAATTGTTCAACAGATTCATCTTATTGTGGTTCTACTTATAATTAAATTTACTTTTTTTTATTTATGTTATTATCCAATTATGTTTTTTTAAATTTGTTTGTTTTAGGATTGATAGAATAATTTGAGTCATTTTTTTAAGTTTAAAATTCAATTATTCAAACTTATGTAGAAAATGAAGATAGAATTAAAACTATTTGGTGCAAGTATTATTATATAAATATATTTAAAAGATACTCTCCAGAAACTTAAGGTAAAGCTATGCATTACAAATTTCTTTGTAGATTCCTATTAGATCTTGGATCTCCTTTGGGAAGAGGAAAATAAGAAAATCTTTGGGATGCTGCCAAATAAGCATCTGCATTCAAATTAAAATGGTATTATTAATCTCTATTTAAATAAGTGATCATCATGGTTATATTCAATATAATTAATTGATTTATGAATTGTTTAGAACATGTTTTTAAGATGATGTATTTAAAACTGGAAGTAAAAATGCAATAAAATAGATTAAATAATATAATAAAGAAATGCAAATGAAATTAATGAATTATAGAAGGAATTTATTTATTAAAAGATCCAATATTTGCTTAGTTGATCTAAGAACTAATTTTAATATTCTTCATGATTACTTGAATGTTCTCATTGCTTTCAAGGCATGGGAATCTCATACTATTAGTTTGATCAAGAAAATTAATAAACGAAATAAAGATTACACAGAAAATACTGAATTAGAAGAATAAAATCCAGAAGAGTAATTTTATTATTTTATTAAAAGACTTTAATATAGTGGGCATTCTTTCTTAAATGAAATGACTGTATTCAGAGGATCAGCTTAAATTAGTGACACAGATAGATTTCATCCGGTAATCACAGATGAAAACTAATACAAGCATCTCTTAACATTTTAAAGTTAAGAAATACTTTAACTTCCAGAAATACCATTATATGATCATTAATTGGATAGTAGTTCAAAGAATGCTTTGTTTATATATAATCCACAAAAGTGAATTAAGTTTGACAAATATTGATTTTGTAATTAGTTATAATATTATAATTATTTTATTTAAAGATATTATTTGATTTGTAATATTATGATTATTTACTTAATTTTAGTTTAGAGATTCAATATTAGCATTTTTTATTTGGAATAATACTAAAAAGGAAAAAAATAGTAATTCCTATATTGATTAAATTAGATGTAATTAAGAATAAAATTAAAAATGAAATAAAATTATAATATTAAAATACAATTTATTATTAGATTAAATAAATAAATATATAGGTTTATTTTGCAAAATAAAGAAATTATATAATATCTATATATACATTTATAAATAGAATTATTGAATAAGGTATTAGAATAAAATGATCAAAATTTTTTCTAAGAATTTTTAATAATAGAACATAATTCTTATTTTTATTAATTCTATTAATTTTATTTGGCTAGCTACTTCAACATTTATTGTATCATTAAACCTTTCATATTTTTTGATATTGATTCCTATTTATCACTATGAAGTCTTCTAAAATGTTGTGTTTGAGGTGAACTATGATTTTTATTGCTATGAAAGTTTAGCAAAGGAGATTCTTTTTCGTGTCTTTCAGTCAAACATCCTAATTCTGGTATAGATAATTTATTATAAAGTGCTCTTCCATCTGATTTGTTTTTTTTATGTTATTTTTTTTCATTAATATCATTGAATTATTATTGAGAATTACAATTAATTTTTAATTTATCAAATTAATTTAATACTTTATCTTGATGAGAACTTTATTTTATATGATTAATAGGTTTTTGTTTTTTTGAATTTAAGACTTTTTTAAATAAATTTTTAGCCAATAAACCAAATTATTAAGGTTATTAAGTAGAATTATTTTATTTTCCTTTTTTAATTTGATTGATATCTGGTTTAAAATTTTGAAGATTTTATTTTTTATAATTAATGGATGGACTATTTCTATTAGAATAAGAAGTAAATAATGTATTAGTACTAGATAAAGGTCGATGAGTAATGGCACCATGTATAAATTTATTATATTAAGGATCATTATAAGTATCTTCAATAAGTAATTTAGCCAGAGAATTCAATTTAACATTATTATTATTAACTTATGGTTATTAAGTTTTCAGATGTGTAGAACTAATAGATACTTTATGTAAGGAAGGAGTAGGTGTATTATTTTGATTTACATCACGTATAATTTTATTGATTTTGATTTGATTCTTAGGCACAATTGTTTTAGATTTTTATTTAATTAATTCTTAAGGTTTAGTATCTAATTTAGTTAAACTTTCAATTATATCTGTAGATGCTTGTCTGTTAGATTTCTTTGATAAATTATTTAATTAATCTTTAGCAAAAGTGATCTCCTTCTCATTAGAACCAATACTGTATTTTATATCATTCTTTTTATGTAGACTTTAACTAGGTTATCCTTTTTGATGTATTTTAGCCTTTTATTTTTAGATTAATTCTAAAATTCTATGTTCTTGAGATTATTTGGGATTTGGAGATGTTGTTTATTTTTTATTAAATTTGGTTCCAATATATAATAAGAAATTATCTAAAGTAATCTTTTCTTTTTNTACATTTATAAATAGAATTATTGAATAAGGTATTAGAATAAAATGATCAAAATTTTTTCTAAGAATTTTTAATAATAGAACATAATTCTTATTTTTATTAATTCTATTAATTTTATTTGGCTAGCTACTTCAACATTTATTGTATCATTAAACCTTTCATATTTTTTGATATTGATTCCTATTTATCACTATGAAGTCTTCTAAAATGTTGTGTTTGAGGTGAACTATGATTTTTATTGCTATGAAAGTTTAGCAAAGGAGATTCTTTTTCGTGTCTTTCAGTCAAACATCCTAATTCTGGTATAGATAATTTATTATAAAGTGCTCTTCCATCTGATTTGTTTTTTTTATGTTATTTTTTTTCATTAATATCATTGAATTATTATTGAGAATTACAATTAATTTTTAATTTATCAAATTAATTTAATACTTTATCTTGATGAGAACTTTATTTTATATGATTAATAGGTTTTTGTTTTTTTGAATTTAAGACTTTTTTAAATAAATTTTTAGCCAATAAACCAAATTATTAAGGTTATTAAGTAGAATTATTTTATTTTCCTTTTTTAATTTGATTGATATCTGGTTTAAAATTTTGAAGATTTTATTTTTTATAATTAATGGATGGACTATTTCTATTAGAATAAGAAGTAAATAATGTATTAGTACTAGATAAAGGTCGATGAGTAATGGCACCATGTATAAATTTATTATATTAAGGATCATTATAAGTATCTTCAATAAGTAATTTAGCCAGAGAATTCAATTTAACATTATTATTATTAACTTATGGTTATTAAGTTTTCAGATGTGTAGAACTAATAGATACTTTATGTAAGGAAGGAGTAGGTGTATTATTTTGATTTACATCACGTATAATTTTATTGATTTTGATTTGATTCTTAGGCACAATTGTTTTAGATTTTTATTTAATTAATTCTTAAGGTTTAGTATCTAATTTAGTTAAACTTTCAATTATATCTGTAGATGCTTGTCTGTTAGATTTCTTTGATAAATTATTTAATTAATCTTTAGCAAAAGTGATCTCCTTCTCATTAGAACCAATACTGTATTTTATATCATTCTTTTTATGTAGACTTTAACTAGGTTATCCTTTTTGATGTATTTTAGCCTTTTATTTTTAGATTAATTCTAAAATTCTATGTTCTTGAGATTATTTGGGATTTGGAGATGTTGTTTATTTTTTATTAAATTTGGTTCCAATATATAATAAGAAATTATCTAAAGTAATCTTTTCTTTTTTAGGTATTGGAGCAATAGAAAATGAAGACATGTCATCAAAGTGTTCTAGATGCTTAAATAACTCATTAATAGTTTATGATGTATCTTTGCGAAAAGGTTTTTCATTCTAAGCAGTTTTATAGTTAACAATTTTTTACTTTTAACCAACTTATTTCTTTCAGAATCTAAGTCTATTGCACAACTTCATTTTCAGGCTCTTCTTATTCTTGAGGTAGAGATTCTTATGAATTAGCAGGAGATGGTCTATCACCTACTATACCTTTAGGTGGTTTTTAAGGATTTTATTTATTTTCTTCTTCAATGATTTTAGCTATTCGAAAATAATCATACTTTCGTTTCTTATCATAATATTTATTTAAAACTGTACACACAGGCTCTTAAAATATTCTAGCAATATCTGCATGGAACTAATTCAATTAAATATGATACTTTATAATATTCTGTAAGTAATACAATTTTTTATGGATATTCCTCTAATTTATAAAATCGTTTAAGATATTCATCCTATCATTATGTATTAATTAAGGTACTTCTTCATCTATAGTCAGCCAATCTTTAAAATGTATAACATGTTTTGTAGATGCATCACTTAATATTTCATTTATTTCTCTAATGTAATAATAATTTTAAGAATGCTAATATTTCTTATATAAGTTGAAATTCATAACAGTCATAGGCTTTCTAACTATCATTGGTAAGGTTTGAGATTGCTCTACGAATTTAAAATTCTAACTCATATTGTTAATTAATTTTAATTATATAAATTCTATACGCATACGAATTTACAAATAACTTATCATTGCATTACCAAATCAACTGAGAAGTAAAGATTCTTCCTTCTCTGACATAATTTAGGACTTATATCATCATTAGTTAATTTGAATTAATCAATTATATTACAAGGTTATAAAAAGTACAATGCTAATCTTTTTAATAATTTTAAATTTCTCTTTTGTTGTTTCTCTTTAAATAGATTCTTATAATTATCATTAGGGTAATAATTTTTATAATTAAGAGCACTTTCAAATTAAGAAGTATCAAAATGATAATCCATATTATTTAATTACAATACATATTATATTAAATCTTGCTCTTTTTTAAAAATACTACTTTCTAATTCATCCAAAACTTTCAATCTTAATGTTAATGTATTTTGTAATAATTACTTACTTTTTTTAGGATCTATTTAATGGAATGTAATATATTATGAATATTCATTATTAATAGAAATAATCTTATGAACAGCTTATTTGAATTTATTAATCTTTAAGCATTATTATTTTTCTGGAGTCTTATCTTATTCATTAGAATAATGAGAACTTTATTCTAAAGGTTATATTTCACTTAAAGATTATTTTGCTGATTCTACTTCATTTATCAAATATTCAGCTGAATAAAGTTTGACAATTTCTGGATTTTCTCTCAATAATTATTATGATGCTATTTTTAATCCTTCTATTACTTATTCTTGAGTTAAAAAATTCATTATTCTAATTCTACGATTGAATTTAGTTCTTTTTTATTAATTTGGAAAAGTAAATGATTTTAAGATTTTTTCTTTATCAGGAACATAATGAATTTTAGGACAATTAATCATAGAATGATATTTTTTATTGCAAGAAAAACAAGTCTAAGGAAGTAATTCTTAATTTTAATCAGTAAATAACATTGAATCCTTAATTTAACAATATTTTTCATAATCTTCTGGATATTCTTATAATAATTTTAAGAAATATTTTTATTCTAAACAAATTAATTTAGAAAAACCAACACTTCTATATTTCTCTGGTTTTTAAGAAGAAGTAATAAAATTATTTAATCCTATTGATTATCCTGATACAAGTGTTCCTAAATTTAATCCATTTGAATGCTAAATCTAAAGTTCTCCTGATATTATATAATACAAATTATTCTAAGATGAATCATCTGTATGTAATTCTTATTCTGGCTATAAAGCTATTTCTTTTGCAAATTTAACTAAACTTGCCCTAAATTCTTCTGAAAATCCTATACTAAATAATGAACATTTATTTAATATTTATTTATATGATTCTGTTACTAAAGAGTCTTTTAAATCTGTTGATAATTATGCTATTAATTATTCAACTTCATCATTTTTACTTACTTATTAATTTTCCCATCTAAATGTTAAATATTCTCTAATTTAAATTTATAAATCCTATGATATCTTTTATTAAGTTAAATAAGTAGATATAATTCTTAATTTCCTTTTCTTTTCAACAGTGTAAACTGATATTTATTAAATAATGGTTCCTAAAGTATTCACACTATATGGTAATTAAATACTGGCTGCTATAATATAAGTAACTGCTAAGACTTTTTCAGCAGATGATTGAGGTGTTACATCTCCATATCCAATTGTAAACATAGTTACAGCAGAATAATAGAATGATTATAAATATTAAATTTACCATTCAGCATCTTCAACTCCACTTTATAATACCCAACTTTTATTATATTTTGTAATACTATAATTTCCAACAAGCATCCAAATACAAGAAAAAAAATGAATTGAATAAAAGAGTACAAATAATAATTTTACTAATTCTAAGATCGATTAGATTTATTTGTTGAAATTTAAAGTCTCTTCATAGTAATTAACTATTGTGATTATAGGTTTAAAATGCACTAAAAATAAGATTAATATTAAAAAGCTAAAAGTGGATTTTGTTCCATATAATGCTTCTTCTGATATTGAAATAAAGAAAAACAATATCAATAAAAAGACTGTGAACCATTGCAATCCATATGAATTAAAGAGACTATGTTTTAAAATCATTATTCTATTAGTCACTAATTGTCCATCTTTATAATAAGCAGTATTTAAACTCAATATTAAATCAAATATTATGAACAAAAGAGATATAATAGATATACCTTAAAAATCATAAAATATAAATGATTTTTATTGCCAACCTAAATCTAATGGAATTACAAATGTGAAATACAATCGAGTTATAACTGATATGGCATCCCATAATATTTTAAATTTTGCATATGGATATAAAATAGGTACTCTATCCAATTTTTTTTTAAATGAATTTTTTAGATTATTCAAAAATAACTATTATCTTCCATTTATTTTTGGAATTGTTGATTTTTTTTAGATTTAAGTCTTTTATGAACTTGCCTTATCATTGATCATTTGTAATTATAATTTATTTAATTGCTTAATCTTTTAATTTCCAGATTGCATATTCTTCATAAACTTTTGAACATAAATGTCCCTCTTTTGACTATTGAATTTTTTCTTTTAGCTTCCCTATATTGCCAATGATTATAAAATATTAGATTAATAGCCTCTACTTGTTACTTTATTTGTATTCATAGGCTAATTCTCCTTAAACTAATTGTCATCAAAATACTTTGTCTCAATATTATCATTTCTTGTTGAATTCATAGATAAATTAATTATCTTCAAATAACATTAATATAAAATTCAAATAAACTTTGTCCACGTAAAATCATTAACAATCAAAAGTTATAAATACTAAACAAGAAACACAATTTATTATATTTTATAAATACATCTAAATATAAAAATTAATAATTCTTTTTTATAATAAATCTGAGAATTGTTAAATACTATTCTATTATTTATAAATTTAATGTATTTACTTTTACATCTAAGTATGATTATAAGTAGAATATAAGTTATATTGTTTATTTAAATTTATATTATTAAATATATAAAATTGTAAAAAATAGAATATAAAAAGTCTCATTCATTTTGTGAAATCACTTTTTATTTAGTTTATTAGAATATTAAATTATTCATCAATTTCAGTTTTCTTACCTTTATCCAATTTTTAGTAATAAGGTAATAAAGATTTTTAAACTGATTGTAATTGTAAAACTATAGCAGAAAGTTCCTTAGGTAATTTTTTAGAAGATGAATTAAATTATGTTTTTTTACTACCAGAAGTTCCATTATTTGATAATTTTAGATTCTCTTTAGCTGCTTTCTTAGTACCTGAAAAGGCATCACTTTCTAAATTGAATTTATATCAATTTTTACTTGATAATGCTCCTACATATAATGAACTTGTCTTCTTGTGATTAGAATTTTATTAATGTGTTGAAGGTAATTTAGATGTTGATTAATTTATCTCAAATAATTATCTAGGTTTTATCATTATTTCTTCTGGCTTCAATGGACTTACTTCTCTTGTTTCTGGAATCTCCTCTAACAATTAGCTACATAAATATGTACCGATCACAAAGCTTTCATTTTTTTATGTAGTAGAATGATAGTGAAATGATTGGGATATATGAGTTGGAGTAGTTTATGTAATTGATTTATGTCGTTGCCAAAGATCAATAAGTTATTCCACATTCTAATTTGCTTATTTGAGTTTGACTGTAAAACTAATTTGTATAAATGGTTTACCTCTATCCACAGAGAGTGCCTTGGAACTTTATCTAGATTGATTTAAATTGAGAACTAAAGGTTAGGGATTCACTTTATAATCTGTTCTTAAATAATGGCTATTGAATATTTGAGGACTTTGAACTTAATGATTGTTCATAACAGCTACAAAATTAAAATTAATTATATCAACTTAAAACATAAGATTAAGTTCATTTATTAAATAATCATTCTAAGTCAATTCAATAATGTTAATGAAATGATTAGAAAATGGTTAGGTTTCATATAAATAAGAATAATAAAAATAGAGTACAATAATGTATAATTTTTGTAAGATAGAAAATATGAAAACAACAAATGATAATAATTTAACCATATAATAAAGTTCATAATTATTTCTTTTTATAATTTGGAGTTCCTTATTATGATTTGATTAATTAGTTTGGTGTTTTGTGTCGAACATTTAAACTTTAAATCGAACTTTTTATCTCTTCCATATTTTTAAGATTGAATTATAAAGTACTTCTACCTTTAACAAAAAAATTATTAGTTTATTATGATATTGGTTTCTTTTTGGTTAATAAATTGTTATTAATTGCAATTTTAGTAGAGAATACTTTTTTGGCTAATTCAAATAATAATTCATTTTATTATGGATTATTTCTAGCAGTAGTTTAACATGATTTAGTTAATTCAATATTACCTAAAGATGCTTATCTAGATTTTAATTATGGAGGTCTTTTTATTGTTGTTGTCATTTATGTTTATTAATATTGTTATGTTGTTTTTTATGTTTCATTTTTTATTTTTGTATTTGATGATTATCTAGATAATTATGGAGATCTTAGATTACGTTCTGTTAATGGTGGTGATTTAATAAGTTTTGTTTTATTTTCTTTAGGTTTTAATAAATTAGTTTCTAGCTATTTACACTGAAGTTTTTAAGCTTCAATGACAGGATTGATTTATTTTTGTATGAATTTATTATAATTAAGAATTTGAAAGGGTTAAGGTTTTTATGCATTATTTCCAATCATTTTAACAAGATCTTTTAAAATAGTGGAATTACTAGATATATCTGTTTAAGTGGATTCAATTTTTAAATCTTTTAATAAGTTCTTCATTTAACTGACTGATTGATCTTCAGAGGTATCTTTAACTTTACGAGGAGAATCCTATTTTATATTTTTAGGATTTTAACAGAGACCCAATTCTTGTTTAATTTTCAAATACTAATATTCTCTATTTCTTTCCATTCTCTTGTTGATTGTTTTTGAACTGAAATTTCTTGGTATATTGATGTGATATTTATAGTATTCAAGTAGGGCTGGCAATCGATCATCACTT